ACAAAATAACAAATTTGGGTTGATAATTTTACAGTGTTATTAAGGAATGTATTCCTAAAGAAACGATTCTGTTTTAGAGGAACAAATGAAGGAATTAATTTAATTATGTTTAAATAAACAGGAACATAAATTTTATAATCCTCAGGAATGTTTTTTAATATATTTGAGAAAAAAGATTGTGTTTACTTATCAAGTTAATAATCTAATAGACAAAACTACCAATTTTTACATTCACATACGACAGTGTTCTGATTAGTAAATATATATTATACTATATATTTACTATTTGAGAAATATTTTGAACACATTAATTATACTCAAAATTATAATATCTATGACGTATAATAAAAGAATTGTATAAGTATTAATATTTAATGTTAACTAATGCGAGGAACCAAATACTTTTCTAGAGGAACAAGAAAAAGAATGAGTTCCTCTTAATATTAAATGAATGAGAAACTCAACTAATTCCTATGTATACAAAAGGAACGTTAAAAACACTGATAATATATAGGTCACAATGATAGCTTTAAATAATATTATTTCAAAGCGAGGTACAATTATGTAAAAATAATCATTTTAAAATGTTCATCTACCTTATGATCGAAAAATCAATAAAAACCTATAATATTATGTAGTTAATATTTTCAAATTACATTTGAAAATAAGTCACTAGGTAATATTATTGTCAACAGTACATAACTACTGAACGTGGATTTTTTATGTTGAACACTTGCACAATGGTAACAACACAGTTGAGGGACAAGGTGTCATTCTGAGTATGAACTTAATCTTATTTAACTTGATGGAAAAATAAGTGTACATTAGATATTAATATAAGTTATAACCATAAATTCACACCTAACTTGGAAATGAATATATTCCAAAATTATAAAATACTTAATGAACAATGAGGTTTTATATTTTAGATAATAGAAATGACTATGAATTGTATTGAAGGATGACAAAAATGTACACTAAAGATTGTTAAAATAATCCAGGTTTGTTCTGTAAATTCTGTTTTTTTTTACATCCATTATTATTAGATTATAATAGCGCAAGTGAAATGTATAAAATACCATAATTTATTTATTTTAAACCAGTGAAGTTAATACTTTAAGAATATAATTGACTACTAACCATATTCAAAATTAAAAAGAATAAATTAATAGGTCAATAATACCTATATTATTGACAAAAAAATCAAATAGAAAAGTTTGAGAGCAAAACCAATATTAATTTGGATTACAATATTGACATTTAAAAATTTAAACTTATAAAAGAAACTAAACCTTGCTAATACCCAGAAAACGGTAAATCAGAAAAAAAACCCTATCCACGTTATTTTCCATACAAGGGAGATCCATGAATATAATTTTGTTTATAAGTAACCATGACAATGACAATTTTACAAAAACTATGTATAGTCCAAAAACATTCATCATAAAAAAAATTCCTCTCAAATCCATCAGAAATCAATGCAGCCATTAGGGAATATTATAAAATGAGTGATTGACAAATTAAATACATTGGTATGTAGCTATTATAGATTGTATATAATATAGAATGGGTTACTTACCCATAAAACCGGCTGGATAATTAGGGTCGGTACGGACTTTGCCATCAACCTTGATTAATCTTTGCATGACAATCTTGGTGACTTCGGCACCAGTAAGTGCATACTTCAAACGATTACGCAAGAAGATCAATAACGGTAGTGATTCACGAAGTTTGTGTGGACCAGTGCTTGGACGTGGAGCGAAGACACCCCCCAATTTGTCCAACATCCATGCTTTGGGTGCGTTTAAACGCTTCAAATGTTTCTTTGGACCTCTGGCCTACAAATAGTTTACAATGTATAAAATGCATAGGTACCTAATTTTACATAATTCAAGTAAACAAACAAGCCGTCTAGACAACAAAGTGAAAATCGATTGCGGTTCGTTGACCGGACATTAATTTCTTTCAATATTAGAGGATCCTCAAAATTAAAATTGCAACGAATAATCATTACTTTATAATTAATAGTGTAACGGATTTAGTTAAGCGTCGTCCGATTCAGATTGACGGACGATTACAAATTGTTCCGAAAATCGAATACAGCAGAGTATTAATCGGACGACGTTAGACGTTAGACGTAAAATATTAGTATAATTTACAAAAAAAAATTGGTAAGAAATTATTAATGCAATCGTTTCGGCTTATGGGTAGACGGTTGTTTGGATTAAGATGGATAAAAATTAAAAACTTACCATTTTGACGGAAAAGAGTTACTGTACCAGACGCGAAAACTAGAAGAACATTTCAACAGAACACCAGCACTCAGAAAGATAGTAGAGTTTGATTTTGTAGGTTAGGTTTTTATAAACAAGATTCAGGCGCCCGGGAGGATGGATATCAAAATACACTCCGATCTCCTTGACTTTTACGTGGAAATTTAAAAACCCGTCGTATACTCGTATTATGATAAATCGTGAACTAAGATATACCCATGGGCCATGGCTAAATACACATGTAGATGTATTTATCCATGGATCAAGGTAAATATAATATTATAATTTTTAATTATATTATAGTATTATAATTACCTTGCCATGGCCCATGGATATACCGTAATAGGTATATCTTAGTTCATGTGATAAATTAAATATTACCACGAAGACACAAACACATTGAAAAAAATCCAGGAAACTCGTTACTCGTTCTACTGTATAGCTTTCGAATTTCAAATTTCGAGTCATCGACTAATCCTCTTCATTGAGTAGGTGTTAAAATATTTGAGTAAATCTAGCGAAAAACTTCCGGGAAAAAAAAACTTTCAAGTAAATAAATAAATATGATGTAAAAGTACAAAAATATAATTACATAGTATATTAATTAACATCGCATCTTACTTAAAAACTAGTTCATACTTATTTTCTATTATTCCTGGATAACCCATCTGGAAGCTATTGAAACCTAACCATTTTTAAGGGGTCGGATTTAGGCAGTATCCTATACACGGGTTGTAATGTGTGACTGTGTATGTAGTAAGTAGTAACTGATAATTAGACATTAGTTCGTATTTTCGTAAGTTCCTCGAAAGCTTCAAGTAATAAAGATAAACTACGGCTAAGATTCTTGGAAATCTGTAGCATAGAATATACTATTTGGAAGTATGGTACTCAGTCACACTTCATTACATTTTACAATCAAAAATGTTTCAACATGAAAGTCCAAAAGCAGAAAAAAAAATTCGTCCAGTACCCACCAAATTCCCGATTATAATTTTGAAAATAAGTATGAATTCATTATTCTCTTTTCTAGGTTATGTAGGAAATGGATATTCGATATTCGATTTTTTTGAATTGTTAAATTACTATATAATTACTTATTAGTGAAGTACCAAATTAATTTAATTTTTTTTTCAAAATTTACCATTACTTCAGTGCTACTAAACAAAAAATTCAAATAATATCCATTGCCTATATAACCTAGAAAAAAGAATAAGGAATTCAAATATTTTTTTCAAAATGAAACAAACATTACATAGGTACATTACAATACATACATTTAATTTATAAATTTAATAAATTATTTTATTTTAGGATTACAATAAATAGCATAAAGAACTAACACAGAACTAAAAATTTTAATATGTGACTAGTTAGTTGGCTTTTCCATGAAATTTTACACAGGTATATATTTTTTTAAATTGTATAGTTTTAATATTTTTTAATAACGATAGGTAAGTTCAATAAACATTGTTTTTCATATGTATTAGGTAATTATATATCTAATGACTTGTATATTAATGTAATTGAAATATAACATTCAAAATAAAGTCAAATGTAAATTAACTACTTTAATTTTTTTGGGTATATGTATATCACGATACAATGTGTTCAAAAAGTATATATATATACAATTAGAATTGACTTACCAATTATTGGAGAAAAACTGCATGATTTGTTATGGATATAACAAGGGTAATACGTGAGTTTTGGGACGCACTTTATAATTATGGACATATGGTTTATAATATTATGTACATTGTACAAAAAGATTGTAGTCAAATTTATCTAGGTAAAGCTGAACTATTTTTTCCAAAAACATCATTTTCATATAGGTGCATATCACGATTAAAGATAATAATCTTGGCATCAATTAACATAACTATAAGCTATTGTCCTGTGTTATTAATATTAAGTATTATACACTTATAGCTGATAAGTGATAAGTCAATACTACTGCATACCATTTATTGTTTTACAGTGTGAATAGGTTCATGGTCTAAGCAGCTTAAAATTAGCCTAAATATTTTGAAAATTTCAATGTGCATACAAATTTATGTATGGAATGGCAAAATGTTCGAAGTTCCCTTAAATAACTAAAATTGTTACAAAAGAAATTTCAGTTTAAATAACCAAATGTATCAAAATAAAATCTTCAATTATCCTTAAAAAATTTGCTCTTGAATATTTATTGCTGTAAAAAATTAAAACCCATACTCAACGTTACATCAAACTTTTTGATCAACAATTCATAACTTTTACTTCTCTGCGTATCATTTAACTGCACACACTTTCAGGTGTATTGATAATTGGAACATAAAATAAAATGAATTGATGGAAATTGCACAGTATTAACTAAATTTATAGGCCACTCAACAGAATTTAAATATTACCTATAAACATTAAGGAAACATGATATCATTTCACATAGGTTATGTCTAAACTTTAAATTAAATTTAGCAAATTTAGAAAACTCTCTAATGAAAATGAAAATATTTAATTCAAGCTTGACAGTAAACTAAGCAGATCAAAACTGTCAGTTGACTATGATACAATCTCATAAGTTATTCTCATAAATTTAAGTGGGTACATTCATAATAAATAACTTTTGATGTCTTTACTCATAGAACTAGGTAACTAATAACACAATTTATTTTTAAATGTTATTCTTAACTTAAATCAATAACAAAAATCAAAATTATGTTAAATAATACAAATAAACACATATTAATGTACAAACTATTTTTCATTACTTCTACATTTATTTCTAGGTTTAAATGTTAATAACAAGTTTATTCCAATAAATATCAAAAATATATTGAGTATTGCTTTACATGATTAATTTAAAATAAAATGAGTAAATAATATTGAATAATTTGTTAGGATAATACATAACATTTGAGAATTTTATTTTTATACTTCATTATTTTAAACAATTTTAATAGGAGCTATATTTCTATTTTGTCTGATTTAATAAACCTATATTTCATAAATATGTAGACTATAACAAAATTAAATTAGTCTGTTTTTAAAGATTGATTTTGAGAGTTATCATTTTCTATTTTCAATCTTTTTTTTTCGCGTATGTCAGCTAGCGTTTGTTCGATTGACCTTTGATCCTTTTTATTTTCACTTGGAACTGAAAATAAATTTATATCGTAATATATTTAATGATGGTTACATTTAAAACTAAAATGGTTGCTGTGTTCAGAATTAAAAAAATATTTTTAACTCACCAAACCCATAAGATTTATTAGTCTCTGTCTTCCTTGCTGCTTGTTCAGCTGCTTCCAAACCAACAAGATGTTGGAATTTTTCTTTGTAATTATATTTAGGCTTATCTTGGTTAGTTCGCTTAAGCATCATTCGTTTTTCTTCATCTAGCATTTCTTCAATTTTAACTTGTTCCCTCTAAACATTTATAAAAACAGGAATCTATATTATATTATATTAACCTTTCCATATTTATTGATCATCAAAACTTGATTAACACTAAGTTACATAATATGGACTAAAATTTAAAACAAGTACTATAGCAATAATAAAAAAGTAGTAAACCATTATAAATTGTATTTAAATAAGCCGAATGGTTACAGAATTGAAGTTCATTATATAAAATCAAAACTCATACTGACTACCTTCTTTTATAAGATGAACTTATTCAATTTAATTTGCGGTGCTCCCAATTAGGCTTTTCTCTCAATATTAATAAGTGCAGAGTGATTTCCTTCTCTAGATCAAGAAACACTATACATAATACTTAAACTCTTAATGGCATGCAGTTAGAACATGCTTCCACTATTGAAGACCTTAGTATTCACTATTCCAGCCGTCTCTTCTTTATTCATAATATCAATGTTGTCATGGAACAATGCGGACCGTCAGTTTATTTACTCTCTCTTCAACAATTTATTAGATACTTCCAACCTTCTCTATTGTATTTTTTTTAAAGTTCCTTTCCACAAAAATACAAATAAAACTTCTTTGTATATCCCATCCCACTCAACTTCCTATAGCCATAATCATTAATTACATAGAATGCTTGGATTAGCAAATTTGGAATGACCCATGTCTACTACCACCTTAAATAGTTTAAATGCTTACTATATGTGAACTTATATAATAATTTTATGTTTACCATATATTACAGAACACTCCTTAATTATTAACATTTACTTAAATCTTAGCCATTGTAATTTTTAATAGCCGTTTGACGTTTATATAATAAAAAATAAATACCATTCATAGGTCAATTTAAAAATGCTGTAGACAAATAAAATGTATAATTACTAAAAATACCATGTGTAGAATGGTTTATACTTCATTTATAAAGATAATAATAATTCTTATCTTTACTGTGTTAATTTTATATTTTCATTTATTTTTTAATATAAAATAGGCAAATATTAATGCGGAATTATTACTACATACCTTAACCTAATAAATATTCAATATCAAGTAAACTTAAGTTTACAACTTATAATTAAAGTGTATACATATTTTTATCAGTAGTGAACCTAGGCCAGTATAAATTTGAGGGAGGGTTAAGATAGTCACAACATTATTTTCATTTTAGAAGTCTGAGTGAAGTTTCCAGGATTGCGAGATTTTGTAGTAATGGGTTATTGTTGGAGATTGATTGTAGAATGTTTATAGCTTAATAATATAATACAAACCTGTTCCGTTAATCTTTTAGCAATATCATCATTCCATTCTTGACCATTTCGAAGTGCATTTAATTCGTCCTCAGAAGGCGGAGAATCTTTCTTAAATATCATAATATAACGATCAACTTCTTCTTCTCCAAAAGAATAAGCTAACATTCCAGCATCCTCGGCAATTTCATGTCTAAAAATATATATTTTTAGTTTTCAATCAGTAATAATTAAAATAATTAATGTTCTCACACTATATTGCGTAGCACTTTATTCAAAGTAGGGAATTTCAAACGAGTCTGGTGATCGTCTTGGACAAATGATGTCACTTTTTTCTCCGTCTAAAATAAAATACCATATTAATTTAACTATATTTATGTTTTAATTTAATGAATTTATAAAAGAAAAACCCAACATTTGTTTTTATGATTTACACAAAATAACAGATGAGAAAAATTATTAAATACATAAACAGTGAAAATGAATGAAGAAACATTCTTAAGATCGTCTATTGTCTTCTTAACTAATTAAAATTTTTATAACTATCATTTAGCAATAAAAAGCATTAAATTCCTTATCATAAAAAAGTATAAATAATTAGAATTACTTCATTACGGAATTGTATCATTCTTGCTTTTTCCTTATTCTGTTGTTTGATATATATTTCTTGGGCTTCTAAAATAAAAACAAAAATCAGTCACAGATAAAATCTATAGTTATATTACCAGTAAAGTGAATAAGTTGGGGAATATGCACAATTATTTAGCATTATGAATGAAACCTGACAATTTTAGAAAAAGCAAAACATAGTTTAAAATGTAATAAGTTTTTGAACGATATTATTTATTATTTATTTAGTTAAAATTTTTTATCAACCCTTATACAGGCACCTATGAATTATAACCGTTATTAACTATGAATGTATTTGTACAATAATGTATGTTGTATTGATTGGTTTGATTTTATTAATATCAATATCATATGCAACTTCACAGTATTTTGTTTTTCATGCAAACACACTTTTTATTCTGACATTTCCATTGGCACGTGGTTGCCCAGAAATTATTATTGATTGTTCGTTTGACAGAGTTAATAATGCCACATTCTTTTACACCGTTGTATTAATCTATATAAGTCTCTTGGCTCTTTTTTTTATGTCCAATTTTTAATTCTAATATTTGTTTGATTATATTATTGTATTACTCATCAGTTAAACATGAAGCATTTTTAGCTAATTTCTCTCGGTTTTTTTTTAACTCACTATTAAATTTTGATTTTGCATCCATTATGTACTATATTGTACTGAGTATATACACACTGTATATATACTAGTATATTCACTGAGTACAGAATGTTACTGTCAATAAGTGGACCGTGGTATTATACACTTTTAATATGTTCAGTCATAATAATTGATCGATTAATTGATAGACATTTAATGGCTCAATTGAGTAGCGCGATTTTATACTGGTTTATTGACTGCCATAATATGACTAGTAAATATTGACTAGGCAAAACTCATATTATGTACATTCCTATTGATTTTGTAGACATTTTACATAATCACTATATAGGCACTAAACACATAATACGGGAATATTCACTTTGCCAAAAAACATGAATAAATTTCGTAAAATAAAAATAATAAACACCCAATTAAGGCTTACTTTTTTGCCTTAGTTTTTCTTTGGTATCCACAGTCGGTGGTTTTTCCATTGATTTCATGATCGACCCAAGTAAATCCATGATGACAAAATTTGATAGAGTAAATAAAAGTAATCTCAAATTATATCCAACAACGAGTGATTGACCAAAACTGGAATCGGCTTAGTGCCTGTTACTGCCTGTTGGCTATTAGCACAGAACAAATGAACAGTGTGGATACTGGATATTGGGTATGGAACAGGGTCTTGTTTATAAATTATATCATTATAAACAAGACCGTGATACCTATCAGTGATATGGAAAGACTTATCAGTTCCTGTGCTATCATATATAGAAAAAGTCGTTTAATGATAGGAGCAAACATTTTAGTAAACAGCAAAGGCAAATATGTAGTTTTGGCATAAAATTATCCCTAAAAATGATTTTTTATTAACTCACTTTTTAGAAAACGGCATGACAAAGTAAATATATATACTATATTTTTCCACGGTAAACCCTTTGGTCTAAATTCATCCGTGAAAACGCGCTTATAATTATTATTCTGTGATAAAATATGAGAATACCTATTAATAAAATATAATCCATATATTTTCAATTATGTCATGATTTCAAATTTTCCACTTTAAGATCAAGATTGAATTTAAAAACGTCCAAACAAATTTTTTTTACCACTGACAAGCAATTAATTAAGTTGTATATCACAGTAAGTACTGATTAAGTCAGTTTTGCATTTCCAGTATACCTGTATTTTATTCTAGAAATGGATTCACAAAATTTGGAGAACTATCCTGTGTACATATTAAATGTGATTCCGGAGCTGACTGAAGAAACCAATGTACAACTACCACATCAAATGACTTCTGGAGAGCTGATGTCTTATGACTTCTATGTTCCAAATATAGACCATCAAGTTCCGACAGTGAGCACTGAGTGTGTTCCACCAATAATTTCTCACACAAATTCTACAAAGTCAATCAAAAAAATATCTTATGACAAAACTATCCATCACTTGGCCATTAATAACAATCAATCTACCGAGTTAGTAATCAACTGTATAACAAATACCTTTGTAGCAATTTATTTTTAAAAATCCAAATTATATCAATAGGTAACAAATGTATTTTAATGAGGTAATGATTTTTATTTTATTGTCTTAGGCCACACATTGACACATATTCAGAAAAATTTGTTAATGATATATCACTGTTACTAAAAGATGAAGATATGCATAATGATAATAATAAAGTATTAAAATATGACTCAACAACTGATACAAATGTAATTTTTCAGTAAGTGTTCATATTATAACTAATTTTTAAGCTTTTTTCTATAGTTATTACTTATTCAAATAATAAAAATGAATGGATACATTTTATATTTTAATTTATTAGTACTTAGTTACTTCATCACATTTTAAGTACATTTTGGTTGGTATTTATCTTTTGATTCAAATGTCAGAAAAACAAACAAAATTCTTAATTTAATGCTATAAACTTTCTGACGTTATGCACAATTAATATTTTACATTAATAAGCATATTATACAAACTCATTCATTTTTGTTTAGTTTGGTAAGGCCAACCGATTTAGAAGAAAATTCTATTGAAATAAAAGTGCCAAAAAGAGGACGACCAAGAAAAATGAATAACGAATTAATTAAGAGTGAAACAAGACTAGAAGAATCTTCAAAACAGTTAAAACCAGAAGACGTAATTCAATACACTTTAATATGTTCTTATTTCTTAACAACTATCATATTTTTATAGTTTATATAGTACCCATTAGTATCTACAAAGTCTGGTCGCTTGTGTAAACCTCCAAGACACTTGATAAATGGTGAAAACACTATGGAAACCAAAAAAAACTCCTTCTTAATAGTCGACAATAATGGTATTTGCTTGTTTTCTATATTAAAATTTAAAATAATGTATTAATCTATACAATTAATAGTATACAGTTTTGCATATGTATTGATAGCAGAGACACTTTTTTCTAACATTTTTTAATTAGTTTAAAGAAAGTTTTTAGAGGCAGTTATGTCCATGTATAAAAGAAAAATTGTGGTGGTCAATGAATTGGGATTATATGATTTGTTCAAAAGACATTAAACTATTAACAAAATGTTTGTACTATCTCTTTTTAGATTAACCCTAGAGCTTCTGGTTCCCCAACTAAACAAAAAATATACAATTTATATTCTTTTTTTAATAAGGCATGAAAATATCGTATAAAATATTACATTATGTTCTGATATGATTTATTTTCCTACTTATCATCGGATACTTTTTAACTTCCAGTCTGTATTTTGCTAGTTAAAATGAAAACACAATATGTCTGGAAGTGAGTTCCAAACTTTCATTTTCGTCAGTTTTTTCACTTGATTAGCTTCTTTTTTTTTTAAATTAATATTATTTTCTATTAAATGCAATATTAAACAATGAAAAAAATATATTTTCACGTTTATATAATCACTGTAATTGTATTTTCAAGTCTATTTCAATTTTGTATAGTTTGAACTTAAGCTTATCTGTTGATTAGCTGGTTACTGATCAGGTTTTAAGTTTTTCAATTTTGGTAAGCGTAGTATTTACAATAACTGCTTTACCATACATCCTGTTTTGTTGATTTTAATTTACTTAATTGTTAGAAAATACACTATTGTGATATTACTACGCTTGATATTGCAAACACCGAATACAATATCAAGTGTTATTCATCTGTATTAAGTATTTAAATATAAATTTTAAATTTTAATAACATTAATATTTTTTTTCAGTTGGTGTGAGAAAAAAAGTAAAATATAATGTTAAATCAGATTTTTTTTGTGGAGGATGTGGTAAAACTTATTTAGGCCATAAAAGAATGCAAGAACATTTGGAAAGATATCCTTCTCATAAGATGAATACAGCTGAAAAGCAAGTGGATTCAGAGTTACAAGATATTTTCCAAAACCTCCACGAAACACCGATAAATAGTAATCTATCTCAAATATTTTGTAGACAGTAAAGATGTTTCATAAAAATGTTATAATATTTCATTATATTTCAGTTGATATAATTAATAATAAAAAGGAAACTCATACACAGACAGAAGTTTTAAAAAATCGACATTGTGCTTATATCAAGTCTAAAAAAAATTTGCAGTTTCATTTGAAACAAGTACAATAATATTATGAAATTAATGTCTATATTGTCGATAAATACATTTTTATTTGCATGTTATTAGATAATGAAACATCTGAAAAAAACTAACCTTATGAAATCTTTGTCTGGAACGATATCTGTTTGGGATTTACTATCTAGTACACTCGAGAGTGGAGGTCTGCAATCATTTTCCAAAGAGTTGAATACACTAATTTTAAATTTAAGAAGTTTATCAAAATCTTTTCAAATTGTATCAAATTGTAAATCTAATTCTACTGATAACAATCAAATGGTAAAATAGATTAATTATCTTATCCTTTTAAAATTGATTTTGTTTTAATATTTTTTTAAATGTTTTAGTTCATAGATGATTCATTAGGACATTTGTTTGGCTTACCAAAAGGCTCTTACAGGTTTAAAGACATTCAAAATGATTATGAAATAGAACAAGAATCTAGTGTTTGGGCTATGAACTCCACAAAATCTATTGAACCCAAAGTTTCTACACCACAACATCTCAATCACCACTCTAGTCCTATCCATTTAAATATTTTTGATAGTCAATCATCTAAGGTGGATTTCTTACTTAGCTCGAGTATGGAAGAATCAATATTATGTGATGAAAATCAAGCCGTTATGGAAAGTGTAGATGGTCTAGTATCTGAAAGATTACGCACAATGTCTGATCATTTGCACTCAAATGTACCTATAATTGGTAGGTTGTGATTGTGATTGAGATTGTTATTGATTATTGTGTATTTATACTTACTAATGTACAAAAAAATTTATTTTATTATTTTCCAGATTATCCTATTGCATCCACATCATCTGTGTCAAATGTCTCTCAACCAGATTCCTTTATGAGTCATGGAGTCTATGAGGTTTTCACTAACGAACTGAATCTAGTTCCTACGTCTACTGAAGAGTTCATTAAAAGTTTAGAACAGTTTGAACCCTTAAACGACACTGATAACACACTAAGTACAGAAACAAGAATGTTGGACTTTGAAGATCTTCAACACACATTTCATACATCTTAAAGAGACAAAGTATAAATCAAAAAATAATTAATCAATAGCTTAATTATTTTTCAGTCAATGAGAGTAAAGTATTTAATATTTACATCATTGGCAGCTAAGACTTTAAATGAGAAAATATATCAGAACTATTTCAACCAAATTGCATTTTACATTTATTGTTTTATATTAGACATCAGCTGAAACGGCATTTGATGTTTATATTTTGTTTCTGTTTGAGTCATATTCATAAACCAACACTTAAAGTTAGGTTAGATAGTGTAAATATCAACACAAAATGTTATTTCAGCTGATGTCCCTATAATTACATCAGCGGTGTCAAGGCGCTAGTATACTAGCAACAGTGCATGGTTCACATCTCAAGTGTTTGTTTATAGCTCAAACCACAAAATAATACTTTGATTCAGCCATGTTGGACATCTGGTGAGCCGCTACAGCTTGGGCGCCTGAAATAGTGTACTAGTACTTGTCCTCAATGGTAGTCGTCATCACCATTCACAAACATTTAATATCTAATCACGGTCACGCAATGGGGATAGATCACTGCACTATCCCATCTTCCTACATCAAATATTTTAAGAAACTATATTTTATTTCATTGAAAATGTTACCTACTAAAAACTATTATTTTAATAAAACAGTTAAAAATAAATAAAAATTTTTATTCCTTCTACATTTTATTAGCCATAAAAATTTAAAATATGATACTGTTAATTGATAAAATAGTTTTTTTATACTTGCACAGTATTTTTTAAATTCATGAATGGAAAAATGTATTGTTTTGAATAAGGTTTAAGTTACTTTCAACATAATATTTTTTACATTTTTTGTCCCATATTCCAATCAACATATGGGTATTACCAGTGATTTTTAAAGAATACATAGATTTTCATTCCAATCTAGGATTTTATTATGATGCTGAACTACAACTTGCATATTTTACTTTCAATGAGTTAAAATTTTAATTTTAATTTGATTTTAGATGAAAATTAAAAATGAAAGAGAGGATTTAAGATGACTGAGACAATCATCATCATATCATATTTATTTATAAAATAGTAACATGTTTTTAAATAAACTTTAAAACTTTAAAATTTTAATGTACATCACAATAAGTGTTAATCTAAATCTTTAAAATAAATATTGTTATTCTTCTTAGGAGCACAACAAAGACACTATGTGAAATTATGGTTGTAATAATCAGTTGAATAATGCACATAATAATTAATATTTAGTTTTCTTCAAGTATAATTGTTTAATGTTTATAAATATTACAAATAGATACTAACTAAAAAAAGATATTCTGTTGTATTGTAATACATGTATTTTATTTTATTGTATGAGTGTTTTAAATCATGTTTATTTAACTAATAATATAAATTCTGCTGTTAAATGGTAAACAATTAATGATTAATGGTGCTTGTAGTTTCTATGATGCACAAATTTGCCATAGTTAATAGCATAGAAGAACAACATTGAACCTGCAAGAATTTGAATCAATGGAGCAGCCGTTGTACGTTTTGGTTGAACGTATTTGTGTGACCAACGCCAATAGGCGCGAGAAAATAATCCTGCAATTGCTTTTGGTGATTTGTTGCGGCGTCCCACCCATTCAGTGACCTGGAAAAAAGCATAATGAAAATATTGAACAAAAGTAATGATAATTATCAATTGTTATTAAATTTAAGTGTTTGGTGGTAAACATTTATTTTAGGTAGCTGGCATCTAAATCATTAACTTATTAAACAAATCAAAACTAATTTTTATATACAAAAGTAAGTTAGGAATAATAATTTACATTCATCAATAAGAACTTTTGATCTAAAATATATTCATAAGCAATATTATGTATGTAATGTTAAATAGTTTTTAACATAAATAGATAGGTATTAATTATTAAATAATAAATCTTCTACTAAAACTGATGATGTACCTATCACAATTGTCATAAGTATGATAGTATTCATTTTTTTTAAGATATTGTATTTTTATTTTCAAATACACTAACACAAGACATAGGTTTCAACTTAAGAGTAAGGATTAATGACACAAGCCATATTGAATTAGATTAGTAAAGATAACTTAAGATCAATTTCAGCATTTTTAGAACTACTTGTAGGTTAAATGTTGGACTAGTGGTTACCATTTTAACGCACTCAGGGGTCACAATACTACTGTCAAACTTTGATCAGCAAAAAGTTGATTTTTGTCAGTTACATGAATCACAGGCTATCACCATTGACTACAATCTTGCCTACGGCAGAATCATTACACATAGATATGGCACGTCCAAAAAAAAAATGTAAGAATCGATTTCACAGTTGCAAACACGGAAAGTGTTCGTCGGTTCCGGGGTGCAATATTAGGTCAAACTATCGGGAGAAAAAAAATAGTTACCTCTCCAAGTTTTAATTGCCCAAAAGGTTTATCGGGTGTACCGTAGTAACGAGCAGGATCGTACGGTCCATGGACTTTTGGATTGTACTCGGCCGGATAATCACCAAAACCCATCTTGAACGATGCTGTAAAACGGACTAGATGGACCAGAAAAAACAGTGATGTCGGTTATTGCCCAATGACCAAAACCGAAAAATCGTCCAATGGTCCGCCCGGTGAAGGTTAATAAGTCGACTCGCAAATTATTATTACTATTATTAATGAAGGTTTCCTCAGGTCTTTATCAACACCTCGCTAACAGCTGGTCCCGGACAGTGTGACCAGATGTCTGTACGCGTACATTTAAAGGGAATATCTCTATTCTACTTGCACGCAGAAAGTATAGTTTTCTTAATGGCGGGAAAACCATTTTTTTTCGTTGATAGGAGCTGATTCCAATATTGACGGGCACCATATTATAATTATATCCATTGGTTTTTACCTTTATTTGATACTTATTTATTATAATACTTATAGTCCGATGTATACTAGTCAAATATTTACTCTATATTTAAATAATATGTATATTTTTTTACAAATACATTTTTTAAATATTGTTTTACCATTTCAGACCATTTGTAAGGTGCTGAGATATTGAACGAAAAATAATATAAAATAATTTCTTCGACCAAATAGAATAGTCATTAGTCATTACAGATTTTGACCATAGTGAAAAATGAGAATAAAGTTTGAAATTTGGGAATCCTGTAGTCCTATTTTAATATTGAGTAAGCTTAAAAAGAAAATTAGGAAATGTTTGGAGAGGGCTATTAAAAAGTTTGTGATTTATAGACAAATGATTCGATGTACTCAACTCAATAAAATTAGAAACATCAAGTGTGAATAAAAATAATGAGTATTATACAGAAAGTAATAAATCACAATAAACTTTTAAAAAATCCATTAGGTTTAATTTTAAAATCCTATATATTCTTATCAAACCATTTGGTAACGATTTGGAATTCAGATACAATTTGTATAGGTGTGTATTACAATTTACAACATCGATATAAGGTATAAACTATTACTATAATGTAGTACTACACCATCAATAGATTGTTGGACTATAAGAACTTTTGAGTTTTGACTTGTCGTCTTGTCTGATTCGATTCCAGCATTGCTCAACATTAAACAAAGACTTGCTAGTTGCTTCATCACATTTGTTTGGATAAGGTATCCCTCGAAGGGTTGCTGAAGAATTTAAAATATATAAAATCGTTTTCATCAAATTTTGCCACACTCTACGAAACTCAGTAGGCCCAATATTTTTTGTCTGTTATAACTCGAGCAATCATTTAATATTATATCCCATTTATCTTTTCGAGGTTTATTTGCTGCTTAATTGTTTTTCGAGGTTTTCAATCGCACTTCAAATATTAAAACGACTTGATCAAGTTGTTTCTGAAATAATTCAATACAAATATCATTACCTAGTTTAGCAAATCTCAAATTAAATATTAACCCATTACAAATTAACCTCAAAAGCATTTAAATACTTAATAAAGAAAGCATATTGTAATACGCGGAAAAACCAAATCAATGATTACCTAACGACCCTTCGTATTATTTTGTACCTAACTGCTTATATATAGACTTACTTTCAGCAAATAGATCATCTCGTTCTTTCTGAAATAATTCAACCAGATATCGAAATGTCATTAATTTGGTAAATCTTAAATTGAATTTAATGCATAAAAAATTAACATCAAAAGCTTTTAAATACTTAATAAAGATAGAACGCAAAACAATGTGGAAAAAACAAATCAATGGCTACAATTTCATACATGTATGAATACTTTTACCTACAAACACGACTGTCTAGCTGTTCCGTCCGACGTTGTCACTTTGCCAGGCAAAGATTTGTATTTTAAATGAATATATTTTTTAAAAAAATGTTTAAAAATGGATAAAATAGGTGTATGAATAAACTAATTTGTACTGACAAGACATTTCTTAAACATTGTGACCCTATGGACAAAATTATAACTTTTTGTTGTTGTATCGATAAATTGTATAATAGCCATAAAGACATTATAAAATGACTAATATTTTCAAGTATAATATTTATTAAATTTATTATTGTTTCACATTTCTCAGTACCTAACATAGAAATAGTGTAATACAGCTTCGATATTATATTATTATCAGAAATCCGAATATTATTTTTCTTTATTTTTCCGCAGGATTAGCCGCTGGCAGATACGCTGTAACGCGCGATCCGATTCTGGCCCAGCCGCAGTGCCGCCAACGCTATCCCTCGACCTTCTAGTCCGCGGCTGCTGAACTTTACTGCTCCCGCCCTTCATCCAGAGAATCCGAGATTTTAACAATAATAATATTATTATTGATTGACAATTGTTATTTTTTGTTAATATCCTATCCATCCGTTGCTGGACGTGTGGCGACGTTGGCGTATTCGATTTCGATTCCGACTTAACCTTAGTCAATATAGGTTTATTATGATTCCGAGTGCAGATTCGTCAAGGTCAAAATGCCAAGATTACGCCTGGTCGGTTCCGTTCTAGCATTCTTATGCCGAGTTCCATGAACGGCATGAACGCTCACCAAACGTTTAACGAATGATTATAATTTATAAATTATCAATTATAAACCATTTTTTTCATTAATTTATTAAATCTATCGATCTATATGGTCCCGTTCCGCGCGATTATTTCATGTTTGCACCGATGTCAACAGTATAGTACAAATATTATAATACGATGTAGAAATCTGTGGTTTTTTGGTTGTTTTTTCTTTACTCTTCGGTCTTTTCCCATTTAGTACCACTCCGTTATTTAGGATATCTACTACGCGGTCACTCTAAGAATTTGTCTTCGGGTCGGCCGACGCGTGAGCAGTGCTCAAGCAAGTTATTAACATTATAAGAGAGCACGACGGTATCATAGGTAGACATAATAGTATTAATATATTTATATGTCTACGCACGGAGTACTTGGGTCCGTAACCGCGGTCGACCCCGACCAGTCGACCCTACACCACTTCCGTCCTGCGCTCCCGTGTACCTACGGCGTGTCTGACACTCTGTCGACTGTCCCTCTGACGTCATATTTTGTGCGAGTGCGAGTGCGGCGTCTGCGTAGTGCGAGCTGCATCGTTTGTTGTCGTCACGTCCACGTCCGCTTTTATTCGTTTTCGGTTTTCCGGATATCAGCGCCGCGACAGACGTCACCGTTTCGGCGTTATCGCGATGGAAACGGGTCCGAAATAACGTCATGCGCATCTGCCGTACTGCAGATCTCATCGTCATCGGCGCTGCGTCGTGACTTTAATAATTTATAATACATTATAATATAATGTTGTCGTCACGACGTTTTTTTTTTTATTGATACAAGACCCTCGGCAACATGGGCCATTGGCCTTACAAAATATAATCTTTTAATCTTTTACATAATGTAGCTTATTCTAAATTATTTTAAATTTTGGTTTAACGATTAGTGGCTCTGCTGAATTGGACGATACTGGCTATGGATTGAGGGTGATTGTGGAGTACTTCGGTTTGTGATTCTGGCCGTCACGACGTTTATAATATCGTATTGTAATAATAAAAATAAATAATGACATTATATTACTGTCGTCTCGGCGTAAACGATATTATACTACAATTTACAATATTGTTTGTCATATTTTATTTGTCTAGTTTGATGACAACTTTCAGTTTGTTGGGCGTATAATTTCGATTTTCGATTATTTCATTAGTTGCGCCACCGCAAAAGTTCTCATCGATTGGGAGGAGTGGCAGATAAAATATTAGTTTTTACGTGTTACTGTTATATTATAGTGGCAAAAACGTTTTATGTAAAGTGCGTATAGATACGTGCATTATAAAATGATATTATAGTATATAGTATACACTATACAGATACACCCAAATATCCAGAAAATAGTGTGTTGGCAGGAGGGAGTAGGGACTAGGGAGGAAGTGAAGCCGGAAAATGTCACTTCGCGATTCTCTCGTGGACGTCATTGTACGTACGTGATACATCCATATAGTCGAATCTAGAGTAATATATAACTTATAATTTATAAACAATAGTACCTAATTGGTATAATCGATGAGAGCGATATAGAACCATATTATTCACTTTGATGCTACATAATAGGGCTAAAAGAGGGATCCCTCTTCCCATTTATGGCCTTATAAGCCAAATCAATATGTATGAATACATTTAATACATTATTTATTGCCTACGTATAGTAATATATATTATATGATAAATTATAATAACCATACTCGTAAGCCTCAAATCACACTCAGTAATTACTAATTAGTAATACTTCTATAAATACTTCTAAATGTTAACAATTCTTAGTTATTATTTAAATATGCTGTATACAATCTAATACAATAGGTTATAGGTAACTTATTAGCCCAATAAAAGTACAGCCAGTACAGGTATGTAGGGCTGGACCTAAAAATACCACTACCCCGGGGGATAAGAATAATATAGGTACGTCCATTTAATTTAAGCAGCCAAGCAGGTATCTATATAAGATGTAGGTAACTTAAATACTTAAATGTTCCATTACTTCAGTTATTGAACACCCTTGATTAGTGAGATATCAGATAAGTTCGTTCTCGGTTACATTTCATATTTTCATATCTACTTATACAAAAAATATTTGAACAACAAAAGATTCTACACATACGACGTTACTCGCACTATAATATTATAAGTAGGTACTCATATTGTGGTAATAATTTGTGTTGTTTAATGATTAAGCGATAATGGAATATAGATACATGTTCGGTAATCTAGTATAATATAGTTCTAATACTTTTAGCTATATCTGAAAAAATCAAAAAAACTGTTTTGATTTAGTGCTTTAATTTAAAATTTATACGTACCTGGGTAACTCATTTTTGAAATTCACTCATCTTGTTTTCAAACACAATAATGAAAAAATATATTTTTATTTGGTTTTCTACTTTTCTATATTTTGTGACTGATGTATAGAATAATATATTACCCCTGGGGATGTATTCCGATTTTCTCACCATAGATCCGGCCCTGAAGGTATGGTGTGATGTTTTGAAATAAAATCAGGCTTGTGGGTATTGTAAATATAAAAGACTATCCATTAGAAGAGTAACACTTTATATAGACTTATGTTATTAATCAGTTTTTTTCCATGTTTGAGATACTGTACCAAATTTTATAATTATTTAATAAAGTTTATTAAGAAGTTTTTGTTT